TCAATTTATTCAAACTTTTCTAATTTTAGGGTAACAATATAGGTTTTTGTCTAGGTCTCACATTTTAAATGTGCAAATACATACTTGATCCAGTATTTGGAATGCAATACAAAATAGTCCCCTACATCTTGTACAATATCAAGAAGTGGGTAATATTGATCTTATATAAACATACTTAAGAGCTTCACAAGTCCATGCTTGTCTAGAGCCTTGTGTGACCTGAAACTGTCACTGCTAAGGAGTTGCAGTTATTGGTATATAATGAAAATCCAAGTCCTAATTTTAACATAGTGATCCCTAAACAAATCAAAATGAAATGCATGATTACAAATTACAGTTACTCCTCTACTTAAGAACAGGTTAGGTTCCCAAGGTTTTGTTGTAAGTTGAAAATTAACCTAGAAAGTACACTTGTATACAGAATAACCACTTATTTTTAGTTTTTGATCCTTCAATGTACTTAATAGAATACATTATGCTGGTTTACCCACTTGCTACTGTTTAGTAGCAGGTGTTTCAAATATGGATTTTTCATCTAATGCAGTGGTGTGCAAACTATTTTCATTTCTGATCCCCCATTTTGTGTAAAATTTTGTCGCGACCCATGGATAGACAGTAGATGCTTACTGTGCTATGACTATACTATTCCATTGCAAGGTAAATATGCATGTCAACATGTGTTTCTGTTGCTGCAATGTTATCAGTATCACTGGCTGTTTGTCTGCTGGTTGCTGAAGTATAGGTATTGCATACTAATACAGACAATTGTTTTTGTAAAAAAATATACAGGGGTATCTCGGTATATGTCTGCTTTAGAATACGTCCTGTTTGGATGAAACAAATTTTGCTCGGTATACGACTTAATTATACATGACATCTACAAACAAGTAGCACTATCAGTGTACTAGACCAGACTAGATGTTTGCGGTGCCACGGTTTATAACTTTGTTAAATTTCTTCTGATTTTAATTTGTAAATAAAATTTTATTATTTTTACTAATCATGAACTGCAAAAAAGCAAATGAAATGCAACAGAAAACTAAAAAAAATGACTAGAATCACAATGGAACTGAAAAAAGAGATTGTTGAGAAATATGAAGGTGGCATGAGCGTTCGAGATTTAACTGTTGCATACTGTATTCTGAGAACGACGATATTGACAATCGTGAAAAATAAAGACATTATTAAATCTGCTAACATTGCGAAAGGAGTTAAATAAATTTCTAAACAGAGATCGAAGACATTAGATCATGTTGAGAAATTGCTTTTGCTTCGGATAACTGTAAAACAGTGTGCTGGTGACAGCGTATCAGAAGCAATTATTTGCAAGAAAGCTAAAAAGATACATGCTGATCTCATGAAAAATCAAGCAGGAAGTAGCCAGGAAAGCAAGGTGTTTAAAGCCAGCCATTTTTTTTATACGAGAACGGATTAATCATTTTTACATTACTTCTTATGGGAAAGGATGGTTTGGTATACGTCCTATTCGGTATAAGTCCAAACATCAGGAACGGATAAGGTCATATACTGAGGTTCCACTGTACTTCTTATAAATAGTTTCTTATAGTTTTTATAAATAATATAATTTCATTTCACTATTTACTGGTACCTGATACTTGTTGAAGAAAAGCCTTATACATTTTTTTATTTTTAAATAAATTTCTTTGAATGTAGCAACCCCAAAAAATTTTGTCACAACCCCTCTCGAGGTCACGACCCACTAATTGCACACTACTAATCTAATGCACATAGTTTTATATCATCCACTTTAGCTTCAAAGTTAACAGAGTGACACTTCTTGCATTTATCTCCACTGCTAGATTTACTATTACATTTCAGACACACTTTTGAAGTAAATATTGTAAAAGTTTATAAAAACTGCTGTTACTCCAACATTACCAACTTCAATGCCACCTCACGAGTGGCAATGAAACCTCAAAATTTGCACAAAGATGAAAAATGATGATATGCAATAGAAATAAGCCAACATTAATTATTTATTATTGGCTAAAGACAGACTTCAACACCACCTCATGAATGACAAGGAAACTTCAAAATCCACACAAAATTTAAATTTTAGATGTACGGTAAAATTGTTCATAAGTCTTAAAGTTTGTAAATAGGAGACCAGCTGTACTACATAAAAAAATAAAAATAATTTGTATATCTAAAACTTATGACCATAAATCTGAAGCAAACTGGTTGCTGCCAAATCCACCAAGAGAATTATTAGGAGTGCTCTTTATTATAAAAACTTTAATATGAATAATGACTGAAAGATTTGCATTGAAACTTTGTAGTAGACGATTGACTATTCTCTATTCAATTTAGTCACTTACACCGGGTGGCACATGAGAAAGTAGCCCTGACCCACAGCTTCATGAAAATATCATCATAAACTTAGAAGCCAACTGGTATCACAGATGTTAAAAGCAGCCAATTGCAGCATACATTAAATTGTGTTTGGGAACACCCAATGCAACACAGTGACATCAATGGCAATAATTGCATAGCTGATGGTGTCTCTATTTCCTGTATTGTGTAAGAATTTGTACAAATGGGACACCATAATTCATTCAACAGATGCAGTTCACTCAATCCATGCAATACACTAGCACTAGACTTGAACTATACTAGAGTTACTTTTTGTATGACATCCTGTATTTCAAAAAAATTATAGAATTGACATCAGTAACGTTGTATAGAGATTTTGGATCTTTTGCTGTTACCAATCTCCTGACTTAACATTGTCGAAAGTTAATAACATATTAATAGCAAATAATCAAAAAGTTTAATCTTAACTACAATGGATAACACAAACACAATACAGATCTACATTTTTATGACAATTGATTTCTAGAAAACTGTTGTTAAGCGACATCATAAATCTGATTTTCCAGAAGTGTTGTAAATTGAGATTATAAAGTTAGTTTATTAAGTTTCGAGTATCTGTTAGTTATTTACTTTATTGTTTATAAATAAAGTATGTAACTAATTAAACTAATCTTTTCCTAGCTACATTAAGATTGAAAGTTGTCTTGAAGATAACGTGGATTGAGGAACCAGCATGCAGCCAGCAACTCTCAGCACCTCTGTTCAAAATTTCAGATTGCTTCCAGCAAACTGTAAGCTCTTTTCTGGTGCTGGATAAGCTAGCAAACAAGATGGCAGCCACCATAAGACTCTTAAGAGCTCTATTTTGCATTGAAAATTTTGAATTTAATTTATTTGTCGATGAATAAACCCCAAATAAATTAATATTCAGTTAGGTCATTAATAGAATATTTTAATATACTAGTATATTTACATAAGACATCACATAATATTTTTTAGTTGTTAACGTGTAATCTTAGGATTGATTTAATTATTTAAAACTCCCATGGAAATTTAAAATATCTTTATCTCTATTTCTCTTTTCGAAATTTTAGTTTTCATTAATCTGTTCTAATTAAAGAAGTTCAAAAATCATTTAACGTAATGTGGAAGTCCACATCATTCTCCATTTTTATTGTTTTTCTCTCCCGAAATTCCCAGCAGTACGCATTTGTGTTTTCTACAAAATGCTAGCAGTTGCGTCACTTCCGGCAACATCTCACTGGATTGATGCTGAGATTTTGAATACACCCAGTGTTTCAACATACTGATAATCCTAAGCTAGTAAGAATGAAAGCATTTCCAATAAAATATTTTGTTTTTCTTTCTTAAATTAGCAACTTATGTAATTGTTGATTTCAAATAAAAGTTACATAAAAGAAAACGCATTACAATTTTTTAAAATGTATTTTTTTTTAAAAGAATTTTAAAATGTGCATTTCCCACACACGTGGCAACAGTAACACGGTTACAAATCAAGCTTCTGTCGTAATTTATATCAAGATAAAAAAAAAAAAGCAACTCACTGTTTTTGAAAGATTCGGCAAAATAAAGTCAAATAAAATACGCATTATTAATACAAACAAACTCATAAACGAAAAACATTTAAAAATTGCATCTTAAAGTCTCTTTTCTTCTATTAATCAAAAGAAAAATTTTCAAAGCTTGAATTAATGTTGATACCAAATGGGTTTTTAAACAGAGAATCTCTAAAAACCCCACGAAAGCTTATCAATCTGGCCGAAAACATTAGTTTTAATTAAAATTGATTGCCGGAAAAGCATATAAGTTGCATTCGGCATCTTTATATAATGCGGTAGTTCCAGCTTCGGTTATTACGATTTAAATTAATTCAAAGTTCTGTAAGTGAATGTTTACATTTGATTATGCTTTGAAGTTGCAAGTAAAAGGTGGCCCCAAAATTTAGTTAACTCTCCTATTAACATTCAGATTCTTTAACATTATAAAGTCAACACACCTTACTACTGAGAAAGAACATTTATTCAGATAAACAAACGTTTTCAACCTATTTCATGGGCCATCATCAGGTTAAAGATGTTTGAATCAATGGCTTTTCGAACATGATTCGAACGTCTTTAACCTGACGATGGCCCATGAAATAGGTTGAAAACGTTTGTTTAGCTGAATAAATGTGCTTTCTCAGTAGTAAGGTGTGTTAGTTAGTTAACTGCAATAAATCCAGAATTTACAAATGATACAATTGCAAATTCTGAAAAATTAACAAGGCATCAATTTGACTTTAAAACGGTTAACTGACTTTTGAGCCACCCTTTACGTCATTAAACATTCAAAATACATTATCACTGGATGCATTTTTACGTCATAAATCTGTAAAGTTACCGATTAATTAATAAATTACCTTAATTTTAAACATAAATTTCTTCTATCGGCGAGTAATTTAACGTCAGGAAGAAGTTAAAGACGTTTGTACGTAGAAACTTAATGTTTAAAATCGAATTAAACGGCCTTTTATTGATCGAAACGATGTAAAGCGGTTGATTAAACCCTCGTTCAATGTTTACAAACGTTAAAATTATAATGTCATACGAAAAAAATATCAACAAAACAAAAAATCGAAATTTTGTCACAAAAATAAAAGCATTTACCATTCAATTCATCGAGAATTGTCTCTCGATTGCAATCCATTTCTTCTTATAATGTCGAATCAACGCCTTTATTCACTGACAAAACATGAATTACTTCGCAAATCTCGTCCAACTCTAACCAAACGACTGACTCAATTCAAACAGAACCGACCTCCGCCATCTTGCTCCCAGTCAAAATGATGTGACGTCAGCAACCACAACGTTCCGACGGGTATAAACATATAATTTTCTCCGAATTTATTTAAAACAAACGAAAAGTTATTCCATTTCTATGTGAATAAATTAATAATCTCGAACAGTAAAGATAATAATATAGAGATTTATAAAAATGAATAAATATTTTTAATATTTAAAATGGAATCGTTAGGAGATTTTGTGGTGGCGCTAATGTTGTGGTTTGATTATATTTAATTTAATACACACATTATTTGCCGTTATGTCCTGTCGTTAATTAATTTACGAATTCTTTTTAAAAAAGCGAAACAAAAATTTATTAATTTTTATTAAATATGAACATCATTATGCATTTAAAAAGGAAATTTGTTTTAATCCGGATGTTACGCGCGTGAATGTCGTGACGTCATAAGTTGCCGCTGTTTTTTTTTAATACGCGATATTATGTCATCGATAATGATGTAACTTATTATATTAATTTAAAAATAGTATTTAAATTTATAATTGTATTAGGTTTAAATTCTCATTATTTATTATTTTTAATGCATTTTTCATTGGTCGAAGTTTGTTTAAAATTTTGCTTTCCCTTCCGGTATTGGCAGACTGAGTAATTTTTAAACAAACAGGAAAACCGGCTTCGGTTACTATAGTAACAAGCTGTTATTTTATATAAAATTCAAATTATGTCTGTATTTTTATTAAACTATTTATTTATTCTATAATAATAATAATAATAATAATAATAAAATTTCGGTTTTGAAGAAACTCTCCAAATCGTCGTGACGTGTTATGCATATTTCATGTCACGTGATAATTTTTTAAAACTTGGTTCTGTAAGGTGTTTACCTACGTCTGTAGTGTTTTTCCACAACCTTCTAAACAATTGATCTGGGGAATTTCCTAGCTTTACGCATACACTGATCAAATATATAGTCCTGTGATATTACTGTTGGACGAGATCTCAGGAAGAGAAGTTCCTGTGCACATAAATGTATCACAATGCAGACAATCTGCCTGTAAGACATCCCTTCCATACAGGAGGAAGTGGATTGACATTCCAGACAAAACCCTCCCGTTATTAGGGTACTTTGATCTGTTTTGCCAAGAGTCTGTAAGTCTCTAAAGCAAGTGTCTCCAGGCAATAACAAACTCCTCAAAGCATTGGAGACAGGTTTTCCTGTGCTTGGACTGTATATTTGAACTCCCATTGGACACATTCTATACCATATTACAATGGAGACTTTGGCTTTTTGCACTGTTACACCTAGTGTTGCCACCAGGCTGGTTTTTAAATTGATGGTCTGGCTTGATTATTAATTTGTCCGGTTTTCGTAGAAATGTGAAATTATGATACTCACAAATTTTATAAATTTGTTTTATTTTAACAGTTAAACACTTTAACTTCACACCCTCACCCTAACTTATTCCCATCTTATCCCTAAGCTAAGAGTGACAGAAAATGTGCTTCTAAAATTCTAACTTGCAATATCTCTGGCAAATATTAGGTTTGTTCCAACACAAGTCCCTGACTGGTTTAAAACTGGTATGTGCATTATTCAGCTCTTGGCTGTAAAATAACATTGTGCATGCCTTGTACGGTTTCAAATTCAAACCAGCCAGGAACTTGTGTTGGAACGAACCTATTGTCCAGGTCAGCAATTTTGAAAAGGTGGCAACACTAGTACACCTGACACAGAATCATAAAGATAATGCTGATCTTCTCCGGCTGCTTATTGGTGCTTGTTGCCCTCAAAAATATTCCACTAATCATTTCTATAGTTTCTCATGGTATAGGTATCTAACATGGTTGTGGATTAATTACAACTCTGGGACTCTAGGTTACACTTTTGTAAGGCTCCTCCTGACATTGCCCTGTCTCAGCCTTTGTTGAATAAACTAAAATGTGCTATGTTAAATAAATGAAATAACATATTGTAGCAATGTATCAATTAAACCATTTGTTTGCTTGAATCCCTTCTGAGGACTGTAGGCTTAAGTGTAATCAGTGTAATATTAAACTGCCTCTAGTGTGTACTCTCAATCATGGGAATCCCATTAAATGAACTGGTTGGTTACCTTAGCCAGATTCCTGGCTATGTATAGTACATCTTACTCTGCTGCTTAGTGAATTCAAGGAATGTATAGCAGGCTTAGTACAGTAACCTGAAATTAGCTTTTGTCAATTCTGACTGAGCTCAAATCTACCCATTTTACACTGGCCATATGATAGTTGCACAACTCAAAGTATTCTTTGCTCACCTACAAATAGGCACAGTGAGGTTGAACAAATTCCTTTTTCCCACTCTGGTACCAACTCCTGCTTTCCCTCACTGTGCGGAACAAAAGTCCCCGCCTATTTTTGGTAAAAAAGCCCAGCATATATGTAAGAATAAACTGTGCTATATAGTCAGAATATCTTCCATTAGATCAGCTAATGTATAAATTTTATGTTAATTCTTCATTCAAACCACAAAGGTACGTGCCTAGTTCTTTGTGTAAAACTTAATTTGTATTTTTTCACTATCTCAAATTTGGTTATCTCACAGTTGCCAAGTAGATAAAACCAATGAACACTAGTTGGTCGTGGGTCACACTTCACTGATGGGTTGACTATATGGAGTTTTTTGGGTTCTCTTCACGTTCGTAACTTTTTAATAGGTGCCAGTTTCCCCATAAGCCCACCTGGGAGGCATTCCCCCTTAGCAGATTATTCGTGTGTCACATTTCTGTAACCAAATAAATCAAACCCAAAATTTGGTAATAGAATCAATGCCAGATTGTTGTATAAAATCCTAGCAGCACATATTACCATGGTTGTTTTTCAAATTCAAATTCTTTTTTGCCATGTTTGGTCCACTAAAGTTGTTTAAGAGGGAAAAAGATAAGAGATAAAAGGTAGCTAAGAACAGTGCCGGCCCGAGACAAGTTTTAGGATGGAGCGAGATCATATTATGGCGCCCCCTTTGTTGCCCCTAATTTATACCCTTTAATTTTCTTTACCACTGAGGCGCCCCCTAGGACTTAGCGCCTGCAGCGGCTGCTCCGTTTGCCCTATGGTAGGGCCGACTCTGGCTAAGAAGATAAGAAATGGAAGTCAAAGAGAAACTAACTCTTTGACTTCCATTTTTTAATGTTGTTTTGTTTTTTTATATATTGGAAAACTCAAAAAATAAATGGACATCCTCTGAGAGACTAAAGCAGAGTGGCATGCTGTGGAAGTTCTAGGTGGTGTCTTAATCAATGTTTGAAATTTGTGATTTTGATTAATTTTCCATTCGTTGTCACCAGGCTGAACTGTGACAAGCACAAAAAAAAAAAAAAGCCATCTTAGTACCTAAATAGTGGAAAAAGCTAAAATATAAATTTTGGTTCAACCAAAATTTATTTTTTCTGAGCAAAGTTTCTTCATAGATCCAAATGACTGGACCTTTTGAAAATTTTTGTTCCATTAAAAGTAACTTGGATTAGAAGCTTCTTTAATAAGTAGGCATACATCTATGTTGTCTTTTTTACTTCAGAATTCGTAAGAATTTTTATTAAGTCTAAGCTGATATCTGTTTAATGGTGCTTTTAAAGAGAAATATAAATATCTAAAGTAGAGCAGCTATAAGGACAAAGATCTAAATTTAAAATTTAATTATATTCTCAGCAGATTTCTGTATGATCACTGGAATAATTACTTTGCTCACTTAAAACAATAGTTTTGATAATAAATTGTAAAATAAATATCCATTTTACACACAGTAATTTCTCATCAAAAAGCTATATTAAAACTGCAAATTTATTTTGTTCATTTTAAATTCAAAGATCTAAGAACTGTTATGTGTGTGTGGTTTTGGGTTGTAGTTGCTTTTATCTTTCATCGCTGCGAGTGGAAGAAACGAACGAGACAAGATCATAACCAAAAACTAAACTTTTATTCTCCTCGTGTACTTGGTACAGCACATATCTCCATGAGGCGGCTAACAAAGACAACTGGTTTTCGACGGTCTTGTGGGGTGAGTTTGAATTTATTCCAGGAAGTGATGACTCATACACCCGGGGGTAATTGCTTGTATTTTACAACCGTTAAGGGTACAGATGCGAAGGGCAGCGTTCGCCACATGTGCATGTATGATCCATTGCACTGTTCTCTGTTCAACTGTTGTACACTTGGACAAAGCTACTGGAGGATTGGATCATCTCACTCCCATACTGGCAAATTTGCTGAATAGTCAGCAAAGTCATGCCCAATAAAATCATAATAGAGTAATATATTTTTAAGTGCAAAGTGGTTAATATAAGGCAGTTTTATTCACAGCTTAAATTTCTAAAATGGTATATACCATTGAGAGTTTTTTTCAGATCAAGTAGATTGAAACATTCAAGGTAAGAACTTATAAATCTTTCTCTTTCTTAATGAGTCATCTTTAGGCATGAAGAGAAATTCATTCCTCTTACATCCATCAAAATTTAGAGGTGACAACAGTTGGAACCCACATTTGTCAAACTGGGTTCTGCAGAACCTTCAGGTTCTATGGAAATGGGATGCAAAAGATTTTGCAAAACTAAAATGCAAATGGAGAGGAAAATATTTATTAGTGATCTTACTAAATTTGTATGCGAGACATTCGATGTTAATCATTTGGCCACTAATAGTATATGGATAACCCATTCTCTTCACTCCAGTTATTTAAAAGAAATTATTTCCACTATTTCATTTTAAAGGTACCAGACATTGTAGCTTGGGTTGGTGGGAGGTTTGTGTGTTAAGAGACAGAGGAACACTAATGTAAACTTTATATCAGTTCCTCAATCTTACCATAATATATTATACCATATACCGAGTATACCATAATGTACAATTTTTCTCTTTAGATAAAAGAAACTCATTTATATATCTGCTCAGTATCTGGAGTAAGCCTCTTGTGAGCCCTAGACATTTAAATTACAGCCCCATTTAAATAAGTTGCTTCTAAAGAAATCTTAAATAATATCACTTAAAATTTTTAGTAACAATAGAGAATACAAACACTAATACAATAATAAT